CAGTTGAAACATTGTATAAATAAGCCTGGGTTCTCATTGTCAGGATGAGCTTAATGAAAGTGTTCTGTTGAAAACTTGTCTTCCCTCTATGTCCCTTTCTAGTTCAATATTTTTAATATTCCCACTGTCTTCAAACCAGAAATGGAATGGAGGGTGGGAAGAAAGGAAAGGATAAGAACCTAAAATCTTTATCTCTGGTACATGAAGAACTATAAGTAACAAATCTTACTCCTATCTCTCTCTGCACAACAATGGGTTCAAACAGAACAGTGATAGTGAGGCTGGCATAGGACCAGGCTGTTTCCACGGGGTCACTTTAAGTCAGAAGGGGCTCCACAGCACCCAACACCGCATATGGAAAGGAGCCCTGGTGGCATGTGCTGAAAGCAGCTGGCTTCTTAGCTAGAGGTTAGTGGTTGGAACCTACTGTTCGGGAGGAAAGAGATGTGGCACTCCAGCTACCTGCAGGAGTTCTACTGGGTCCTAGAAGGTCACTATGGATTGGAATTGACTTGATGGCAATGGGTACAAAGGTGAAAGCTTCCACATTCAAGTTACCCCAAACACCACCAATCCACTGCCATGGAGTCAATTCCAACTGCCATGACCCCGTTCCACTGCTATCAAATAGATCACGACTCAGAATGACCCTACAGAAAAGAGTAGAGCTGCCTCTTTGGGTTTCTCAGACTGCTAACTCTCTGAAAGCAGAAAGCCTCCTTTGTCTCTTGCAGGGAGGCTAGTGACTTGGAACTGCTGACCTTGTGGTTAGCAGCCCAGCACATAACCCACTAGCACGTCTCCATAGTTACCCTATTGTTGTTGTTAGGTGCCATCAAGTTGGTTCTGACTCCTTACGACCCTATGCACAACAGAAAGAAACACTGCCCAATCCTGCGCCATCTTAGCTAGAGGCTAACTTAGTTAGAGGAACAACTGTTCCTATAGGGCAAGGTAATCTTTGCAGAAGCAGACTGCTTGCTAACAGCATTCTTCCGCAGAGTGGCCAGTGAATTCAAACTGCTAACTTTTTGGTTAGCAGCTGAGCACATTAGCTCCCTCCTATACCACCCAGAGTCAATGGATGAGGAGTACTAGGTTAGTGTGCCTGAAGCCTGGCTAGTAGGGCAGGATTCCAGGGCTGAGGTGTCACTCATGATCATCAATCATTCTTACTCATAGTGACCCTGTAGAGTGGGGCAAAACTGCCCCTGTGGGTTTCTGAGACTGTGCCTTGATGGGAATAGAAAGCCTGGTAGTTTCAAACCGCTAGTCTTAAGGTTCGCAGCCCACTGCGTAACTCACTACACCACAGGGCTCCTGGTTGACATTTTTAATTTTTCTTTTTAAAATCATTTTATTGGGGGCTCATACACTCTTATCACAAAATCCGTACATACATCCATTGTGTCAAGCACGTTTGTACACTTGGTGTTATCATCATTCTCAAAACATTTTTCTTTCTACTTGAGCCCTTGGTAGCAGCTCCTCATTTTTCCCCTCCTTCCCCCACCCTCCCTCCTACACGATCCCTTGATAATGAATAAAGTATTATTGTTTTGTCATGTCTTGAAGTTTAAAGGATGTGAAATGTGGCTTGAAGGCAGGCAGCTTAAATGGGTGTGAACTGTGGTGGGCAAGGAGTATCGTCCCCACTTGCATTCCTTGGTAAGCCACCCATCCTCAGCTCACAGAGGGTTTGAAGCTGGGCGAAGCCTGAAGAAAGTGCATTTTACGGGAGGATTTTAGACGCACAGCCTCCTTGACCTCAGAAATGCTGCTAGCGCGCAGCTATGGGAGCCAGGGGGTTTCTCAGAAAACTCTGGGGCCTCCTGCGCCCTCTAGGTTGCTCAGGACCAGGCTTCCAGGGCAGGGAGCGCGAGGGGCGTGGCTCGGACGGAGGGGGGAGGGGGCTGCTCGGGAGGGGCGTGGTCACGACCGGGCTGGGGCGTGGCTATGATCAGATTCGGGGAGAGTCTGAGCGTGAGGGGCGGGGCTAGAGCAGAGGAAGGTGGCCGGCCAGGCTGTTGCCTGGAGACGAAGGCGGCGCGTGTTGGCGCAAGGGGCGTGGCCTAGTCAGATGGAGGCGCGATCGGGGAGGGTGGGTGGTGACCCGAGACTGAGGAGAGCGGCGGGGCGCGAGGGGCGTGGCTAGTCTCCAGGAGGCGTGGCCTTGCTG